ATCCTTACCAGATGCCTGAGCCACAGGCTCCTCTCGACGTGGAAGAGCAGCGGCTCTACTCTGAGTCCCTCCCGGATGACCGAGCTTCTCACCCTATCCCTAAGGGAGAGCCCAGCCACCCTGCGGAGGAAACCCATTTCGGCCGCTTGTATCTGAGACCTCGTTCTTTCGGTCATGACCCAAAGCTCATGACCATGCTTTTTGTCTTGTGAACTTGATATTTAACTTGCATCCCATCATGCATTTCAGCTTGAAACACATTTAAAATAAGTTCTTTCACGTCCACGGTTGCTCTTTCTCTGCAGGATTCGTGTGCCTCTCTACTGGAGGAGCTCGTACTTGAAGTCCAGGGATGTGGAGCCAGTTTGACCAAGTCGGCTGAAGCATCGTCCCCCGGCGGCGGCCCCAGCTTCATCCTGGTCATCGACGGCCGGACGCTGGAGTGGGCTTTGCAGGACGAGCTGAAAGGCAGCTTCCTGGAGCTGAGCCGTAAATGCAAGGCGGTGATCTGCTGTCGGTCCACCCCGCTGCAGAAGAGCAAGGTGGTCCACCTGATCCGAGACAAGCTCGGTGTCATGGCCCTGGCTGTGGGTAAGAACAGCACTGCTTTGAAATTATTTCCTTCTGGAATCAAAACTGCAGTTATTGAAATCATTCCTACATTTGTCTGAGGATGTTTTGTGTTTTCAGGTGACGGAGCTAACGATGTTAGCATGATCCAGGTGGCGGATGTAGGAATCGGGATATCTGGTCAGGAGGGGATGCAGGTAACCTCCCACTGTAAACAGACTATGACGGTTGATGCATCTTTAACTCAGCTGCCACAGCTCAGACAGACTCAGAAGCTCAAAACATTTTTGGCAAGACTTGAGCCAGATATAGTCATACAAATATTTAACCATCTCCATAACTTTTCAGTGCAAACAAACACATTATGTATGTATTATAATTTTGTATTAAAAATAATATACCAAATATGTCTTTTTGTACTGCACAAAATAACCTAAATACTTTTTCTTATTTGTTAGACTGACTGATTTCTCTATTTCTCTATTTATTTCTCATTTCAAATTACTGTATCCCTAAAATAATCTGTTCCCCCACCAGAAGGGGTGCTCACAATATCAAAGTTATTCGATGAACATCCCATTACAAAAAAAAGAGCATCGATATAGACTTCGGTATCGAATGTATTTGCCAAGTATTTACAGTAACGCTTTCTTTTACGGTACCCTTATTACCATGTACTTACAATGTAAAAAAAAAARGTAATTACTACCTTATTACCATGTAATTACGTGGTAATTAGGGTACAAAAAAACTATTGTTAGTAAAACTACCTTTATTGGGTAACTACAATCAAATTACTATTCAATAGTAACTCAACACTATATTTATAACCAAAAGAATGCAACTAAATTTTTGGGTTACTGGTTAATTGCAATAAAATATAACTTTAAAACTGTCCAAATTACCTACTACTTATTTAGGTGTTACATAGTGAATTATAATACATTACGAGGTAAGTGCTACATTACTGCAGACAATTAATTACATAGTAAAATTATACCCTAATTACCACGTAATTACTTGGTAATAACGAAGTGATTACTATTCAATTACATTTTTTATTACCTTGTAATTACATGGTAATAAGGGTACCATAAGAGAGCGTTACCGTATTTATTTGGTATCAGATCGATATCAAAGTATCGCCCACCGCTCGCTGAAAGGAATACTCCAAAAATGCGAACTGACAGAAAAAAAAGCACAGATTTTGTCAAAAGGCTAAAATAAATATCTTTCTGCTAACAGAACAGCAACCAAACAACACACTAATGGAATGAAATTTGTCTTTTATTGTTTTTTTATTGAGAGAAATGGAGGTGAAATGGAGGCAATGCATCAATAAAATTGAAAGTCATTTGTACTGCACAAAATGACTTAAATACATTTTTTTATTTGTTAGACTGACTGATTTCTCTATTTAACTATTTCTTTCAAAAAGTTTATATTATTTAGAGCAGTGGTTCCCAAACTTTTTGTCTTCTGACCCACAAATTATCCATGGCAAAATCTTGTGACCCCAAATATTACTGGTC